CGGATGCAAAATTAACACACCAAAAGTGCAACCAGAACGCCCGTTCCGGTTTTAGAACGGGCCTTTCTGGGTCCAGGTGTTTTCACAAAAATTGTCATCCACGTATGCATCTATGTGGCATCCACGTGCCCAAAAGTTAACTCCGTTTAAATAATTTGGACGAAAGTCCCACATTGAAATCAATTATTTAATTTGGGACTAAATTAAAACCAATTAATTAGTTTGGGACCAAATTGAGACCAAAAATAAAAGTGGGACTACATTGAAATAAAAAAAAAATTATAAGGGACTAAAATAGGTATTTAACCAAAATAAAAAGTAGCCGGTAAAAAGGAACTAACAAATAATTTTTTTTACTTGGGTCCTAATCCAGTAATCCTATGGGACGGGGAAATCCTAGCATTGTATGTTCTCTTGTCTAGCTACCCTTGATATGGCTGAACAGCAACTTTTATTTTATTTTATATTATTGTAATTATTATTCAGAGGAAAGTAACGGTTACTCTAAAGTTGTTTTTTTTTTAATAGAGGAAAGCAAAATCTTATGATTTTTTAATGAAAGCATTTTTACAATTTTTTAAAAGTTTTTTTTTATCTAATTTAATTTTTATATATCAAATTTATCTATAAATTAATTATAAAATAAATTATCAAATAATTTTATGTTACAATATAAGTTATTTATTATAAGTATAAAACAAAATTTATATATTTAAAATATCTAATTATACAACTTTAAATATAATTTATATGTTCAAATATTATATTTATTTATATGCATAATTTATTATAAATTTTAATTAGTTGTATATAATGAACATCTAACCAATACATTACATACACTAAAATATTAGTTATTAGTTTTATTTATGATCACTGCTCGTTCAACCATAAGGATGAAAATTAGACAGGTGCAAGTTTCTTTCCCATCCCTAATTAAATTTGTATTCTATATCCATTTTCGTTATCAATACTTGACCTATAAACAAATTGTGTTTCATCCTTGTACTAGTTAGGTATTGAGTATACATGTTTTCATCCTATATTTATTTAAAAATTAATTAAATATATTTTTAAAAAATAAAAAAACAAAAATTTTAATATAAAGTTACAATTACAAAATTATATTAATTAAACTTCATCTAATATAAATAAAATAGAATAAAAATTAAATAAATCTCAAGTAATTTTTTTTAAAAAAAGTAAATTAATTTTTGTAAAATTTAAGCTAAGGATAAAAATAGAGACAAGTACGAAACATATAAGTATTGATCAAACTAAATATTTCTCTTCAAAATCGAAATAAAGTTAAATATTCTCCAAAAATTCAAAAATACAAATTTATTTGTCATGTTTACCCAATGGGCAACCCAACTCCACGCTTAAGCAAGGTCAGGGGTTCGAATCCTGCCTTGTGTATGTAGCCGCGTTAAGTCTTGGGGCCAGCTATCCCACCCTTTGAGGTGCCTCCAACATCAGTCCCCTGTACTCTATCTCCTGTCTAGTATTCCCCATCAGTCTACCTTGACGTTGGCAAAGGATAGACAACTGAAATACCTCTTTCTTCCTCTCGAGCCGTCCAGTGAAAAAGCCTGTCTTAGCTTAGGAGACCCCTCAGACAAGGTCAATCCAGGCGAGGAGATTAGTCACTGCTATCGGCGGTGGATACTCCAGGGACGAACCAAAAAAAAAATGGGCAACCCAACTCACATAACAACCCAAATCCCAAATTCCCCCTTAATTCTTCTAACAATTTAGTTGGTTAGCAACATAAAAGTATAACGTTTAACATAAAAGTAAATTATTTTGTTCATCTAATTAAGAGAAAAAAATAATATTAAAAGTATTTAAGTGAAAAAAAGAGAATGAGACTTCACTTTTTGATTATATATTATAAATTATAAAATAAAAATAGTTATAATACACCAACAAATGTTGACTCTAATCCCTTATAATGTGATGAATCAAAGTTCAATTTTTTTGGTAAAGTGCTCACCTTTAGTGTCAAGCATGCCTCAAATAATATCGATTTCAAAAAAAAAAAAACGTGTAAGAAAAGAAAAATGCAATTGGATACCTTATTTATATACTTTAAGATTAGTCTTGTTAACAATACTAATAATTAATTGTGCAACAAGTTTACCATTTGTTATTAGCCTTAAATGTTATGACAAATTTGATTTAATCTATTATGAATTATAAATAATAACATAAGTCAAATTGCTGTAGGAAAAATAATAACATACTTCAAATATAATTTTTAATATTATAAAATTATATTTATTATTATTATTTTTAATATTACATAACATAATATAATAAAATTAAAATAATATTATTTAATCATTATCGATTTATCAATAATTAGTTAACTAATATTAGAGTATTAAATCTTGAACCACAATTTATGACAAAGGGATGAGTGATGACTCGCTCATATGTAGATAATATCCCACATTTAAGTCTTATAAATAGAATACGTGCAAATGCATAGTGCATTAGTGTATACATGATGCCTTTCCCATATATACTATTAATTACTCTATTACTGCCTTGGATTTTGATGTCTTTTTAAAAGTTTCTCAACCTTCATCCTCATTATTGGAACAAGTTGGTTTATTCTCACCTAAAAACAAGTAAATATCTTCAATAATTAACTTATTTTTGCCTATCTTATACATTTTACAAAATTAGAAATGGTAGATAGCATTATCAAATGGAAAATTTTACAACTACGTACACGGGTTGCCACACGAACTGTAAATTCTAAAATTTGTAAAATAGATAGTAAATTTGAGGTCGTTAAACCATTTACTATTTGAAACCAATTTAATTTTATACAAGTCAATATTATCCTAACTTTAACACGAGTCACACATTAAAGTAACCCAAAATATACTATTATATATACTCCAGCCTTATGTGAAAGATTTCTTCGACCAGAATTCTGTTTGTATCCGATTGTTTACTGTGTATATTCAGAATTCTGTTTCGATCTTATTATTTTTTCTCTCTAGTATATTCCCATAATTCTGTTTTTATCTTATTTTTTCTCTCTATATATTCTCATATTCGGTTCCATAAGAACTAGATAGGAAAAAACACATTATTATTATTATTTTTCCATGATGTTCAAGGTGTACCTTGTTTCTTCTTTTCTCTTGGGGCTTCTGCTCCTTGCTCAAGCAAATGGAAATGATAAAAAGATTGGGTTTTATGAACTCAAGAGAGGAAATATGAGGCTGAATTTGACAAATTATGGTGCTACAATTGTCTCCGTCATCGTACCTGATAAACATGGTTTGTTTTATATATCTTAATTACGTATTTATAAGTTGTTTTAATTTATGCTCTCATAACAGCAATCACATAAACTTTTTTTTTTCTTTCCAGGGAAATTAGGTGACATTACGCTTGGCTACGATGATATTGAGCAATACAAGGTATGAAACTTCAACTCTTTTGTGATTCAATCAGATAATCCCCCCCCTAAAAAAAGATTATTTGATTTTATTGTGTCTCTCACTTTGGTTTTATCCTTTTGATTCGGTATGTTTTGTTTGTTTTTTCTGCATGGTGGCATGCTTTAGAGCATTGATCAAATAATATTTTGATGAAGAAATTAACCAAAGCATTGATCGAATTTACGGATTTAACCCAAAATTGTCTTATTGTTCTTCATCATAGTAATTAAGTCAAACGTTCACTTGTGTCCAAATGATTTATTGAAAAGATATATTACAATAAACACGTTTTAAGTTATTCGCCTCATTAAGATCTACTTTTGAGTGAAAAACCAATAATTTGTGACGATGAAACATTTTGCAGAATGACACATGGTACTTTGGAGCTCTTGTTGGACGTGTAGCCAACAGAATTGGTGACGCTAAGTTCACATTGGACGGTCATAAATATAAATTGCCTGCTAATGATCACGGGAACACACTCCACGGTAAATTATTAATTATTATTTCATTTTCTGATTACATTATCGATGGATGGAATTAATTATAACCTTACAATTTGTGCGTATGAAATTTCAGGTGGTTTCACAGGGTTCGGTGATGTTGTTTGGAACGTGAAAAGTCACAAGGAAGATAGCTACATAACATTTACCTACGACAGTCATGATAATGAACAAGGTACAATCTAACTTCTGTTTCTAATTATAATAAGAATACCATGATGGTTCTGTTTTCCAATTAGTAGTAAAATGCATAATAAAGAATTCCATTTAATCTTAATACATACTTTAACCAATTATATGGTAAAATACTACTTAATTTTTTTTATATTTAAATATAAATAAATTTTGATTAAATTAACTTTATTTAATATTCTAAATTCAAAAATACCCATAAGATAATAAATGAGAACACTATCTATAATTAATATAATTAATAATATTTTAGTAAATATAGAATGTATTTTATATATATGAAGTCATAAAATTTAAATGTATTTAACTAGTTTTCTTAATATGTGTGAAATTAGTTTTTATTTACTTATATATAAATAAGAAAATTAATTTTCTAAGTGGTTTGTTCCTTTTCATAAGACTCAATTTATATATCTCTAGTATTAATTTTTACCACAAAAATACTCTTATTGAATGCATTTATGACTTCAACAAATAAGTGAAATTCATTTAATATATATCTCTTAAAATATAATCAATCTCTTATTTTTGTTCTTGAAATATAAAAACTTTAGACACATATATTAAGTATCTTCTTTAGGAGTAATTTTGAAAAGAAGTAGAAACTTAAGACATATATATTGATCGTAACAAAAAAAAATTTAACTTTTTTTAATCTGATGAATTAATTATTTGGATTATATAATACAGACTACGTGAAATATTACGGAAGAAAAACTCTACTTTTAATTAAAGAATAATATTAATAGGACTTATGATATTGTATATAAGTTTTGTGTAATAATAAAGAAAATACTAATCAATGTTCTTAGGGCACCGATTAAAATATAAAAATATTTTTTTTTTATTGAAAAATGTATATGCAATACTCTATCGTAGTTTTTAATAAAACCATTTTTACATATTAATTCTTGCAAGACACCGGTTAACAAAGATTGTTGATCACAAATTTTAAATTAACATTTTATTTATTTGTCTCTTGATTCTTAGGGTTCCCCGGAAGACTTGAAGTTGCTGTGAGCTACATGCTGATTGGCACAGACAAGTATGTAGTGAAAATGATTGCGAAGCCATTGGACAAAGCCACACCAGTGAACCTAGCTCAGCACACATACTGGAATCTAGGTGGGCACAACAGTGGTGACATTCTCTCACACCAGGTTCAGATTTTTGCCTCAAACATCACACCAGTGGACCAAAAACTCATCCCCACTGGAAAGTTCCAATCCGTGAAGGGCACCCCTTATGACTTCCTTGAGCCAAGGGAAGTAGGAAGCAAAATCCATGACCTACCTGGCCTCTATGACATGAACTACGTGCTTGATAAAGGTAGCAATCAGCACTTCAGGAAAGTGGTCATAGTGAAGGATAATGTCTCTGGGAGGAAGCTAGAGTTATGGTCAAACCAACCTGGTTTGCAGTTCTACACTAGTGGCATGTTGACAAGTACTAAGGGTAAGGGTGGTGCCACTTACAATAAGTATGGTGGCATTGCATTGGAGACACAAGGGTTCCCTGATTCTGTGAATCATCCAAATTTCCCATCACAGATTGTGCGTCCTGGAGAGATATACAAGCACTACATGGTATACAGATTCACTGCTAGCTAATTTTATGATCCATTTCATATGTAACATGCCCATGAGTATAGGAGAATGATTCTATAAATATATGACTCATATCTATCATTTTCCATAGTTATCATGTGATTAAGTTTGGGGAATAATCTCTTGGAGTACTTTTCTTTCGACTCTTTCATTGGCTTGGAATAAAGAGAGTGGGCATTAATTGAAAGATATACTATTTGTCATTACTAAAATTAATAGCTAAAATAATTTAATAAGAGATTACATACACTTTTTTTAGTTGTTGGTTTTATGTTATATTTAATTTTAGCTTCTGCAATTTTTTTTATATTAATTTTAGTTTTGAATTTATGTTAATTTTCGTTTTTATTCTTTGAATTTTTTCTTCTTATTAATATTTTTGGCCTAATATCAAGATTTTTTTGTTCATGAGAAAAAATCTCAAGATTAAAACTAATTAAATAAAATTTGTTAAAAAATTAAAAGTGAAAATTTATAAATAAATAAATTTAGAGACCGAAAACATAATTAATAGTAAACGAGGCAAAACTCTCCGATTAATTTTAAAATAAAGTTGTATTTCAAAGACTCAATTTTGACACTGCTGGTTAAAGCAGAAGAATACAAAATGATTTATACATGTCAAAGCAAATCTTAAAGTTAAAATTTTTAAAAATTATTAATAATATTCAAAGATAGACTTTAATTAAAAAATAATTTTCTTCATGGTTAGATTTAGAACTGTACCCCCAAATAGTTCAATTATTTACTTTAGGTATATCTAAATCCTAATACTTAATTTAATTTATTTTCATAAATTTATAAATATAATAATTATATCATTGGGATCAAGTCACTTCATATTTTTGTTTATTTTTCACAAAATAATAAAAACTCTAGAAACAATATGCTATATTAATTATAACAAAGAGATGAAAAGAGAGAGAAAAAACAATTATATACCAATTATATAACTTGCTTAGTTAAGGAGATTAAAAGACTAAACCTACAACTATTGTTAATCAAGAAAAATAATTCGTGATAAAAATAAAATATACTTAGATTAGAAAAATTCGTACTTAAAAAAAAGATTTTTTTTAAATGTAGGTTTTTGTCGGCAAAAATATGTTTAAAAATTTATATAAATAAATTAGTATTTTTTTATAAAAAAAGCTATGAAGGACAAAATGATTTTATTAAAAATAAAAAAACAAAAAATAATTAGGAGAGAAAATATCACCTTTATATATATGATTAGAAATGTATTTCACTTTGTCAAATCGTATATATCAAAGCGAATATTCATACATCAGTTCAGATGAACTATATATATTAGAAGAAGGATATCCCCACAAGAAGAAGAATACAATGTATAATATATGATATATAGTCCTTTCGGGACATATAATATAATTAAAAATATATAATTTAAATATAAATTTTAGTTACTAAAATATACAAATTAGATACTTAATAGTTATATTATCACTATAAAAAATTGTTAATAATGACACTTTATATCATGACACAATATTTATTGCTAAAAACTATTTTTATCTACACTATATATAATATATGTTGGTATATTGTTAAAAAAATGTAGATATAAATTATACTGACATATAATATATGTTGTTAGATCTCATTCAAAATTAATATTGTGCATAACTATATGTCAAATAGATATATTCTTATATGTTTTATACCTATAGTGATACTTTTTATATATCATTATATGTAATATTTGTTTTATAGTGCATATATTATAAATCTATATTTCTTTAAAAGCACATTAATATATATTTATTTTTATTATTAAATTATTATTTTATCTATAAATATTCTACTATTATTATTATTATTATTATTATTATTATTATTATTATTATTATTATTATACAAGAATTGTTACATATAGTGATACATAAAAAGTGTCACTATAGGTATAATATATGTAGGTATATGTCTATTTGACATATAATTATCATAATTTTAGTGTTGATTTTAAATGAGATTTAACAACATATTTTGTGTGTCACTATAGCCTATATCTACACTTTTTAATAATACACCAACATATATTGTAGTTATTGTGTGGGTAAAAGTAATTTTTAGTGACATGTATAGTGTCACTATAAGGTGTGTGTCACTATATGACAATTTTCTTGTAATGTTATTAATAAAGATGATAAGTATTTTTTGTTTTCTCATTCTGTTGGACCGTTTTGTCTCTTAACTTCAATAGAGAGAAGAAGATTACCAAATGAAGAATCATCAAATAGTTGGAGACCGAGGTTGAGAGGGATAATAGGCTTAAACAAAAGAAAATGTCATCCTTCATAGGAGCTCACCCTATTCCTTCCTCAATGGTTTCAAACACCTTTCTCTCTTCAAATATTAACACTTGAGAGATCTTTGGCCAAGAAATCTTCTTCTCTAAGGGTTGAGACTATCTTGCTCAACAAAATTCTATGAGCAAGTGATCAATTCTTTGTGAGCTAATGGGTCAATCACTTGAGATTGCTCAAATACTTTTTTATGGAACTAATAGCTGAAATTCACAAGCTTCGGTCAAAGATGAAAGAACCTAAGACTACCCTCTCATCTACTATTGTCACCAATCAAGAGATTTTGATTGAGAATGAAAAGATTGAGGCTAATTGTTAGATTTAGTTGAAAAATTGAGGCATCAGCTTAAGGCATTAAAGGACATTAAAGTTAAAATGATTGAATAATTTGAAGAGCGTTTTGAGCCTTAACCTTTGAGAAGGATAATGTTGTTGTTACATATGAAGCCTACGAAGCCAAGGCCGAAGAAAAAATTTACAAGGAACATGACAAAGGTTTTCAACATGTTGTTGGTTAACCCATGCGTTTTCTTGAAGTTCCCCCAAGATTTCAATTTGATTTCAAAAAAGATTTTCATACGGAATAATATATGAACCTTATAAATGACATTCTTGATGACACCCTAATTGAAGATTTTGTTCCTTCCACTTCTCAACAAAGATCACCCCAATCGAAGAGGTTGCCGATGATGTTATTAATGAAAAGGAAAAAAATTGATGATAGGTATTTTAATCTTAGAGTATTTCACTTTATTCCAAAACTTAACCGTATTTGTTGATTGTAAAATAAATCACTGTTTTATAGGCACATCCTTAACCAAGTGTCTCTTCAGGAGGGAAACCTTATTTTAGAAGCAAAAAATATTACTTACAAGCTCATCCTTAACCAAGTACGTCCTCAGGAGGGTTTAGAAGCAAAGATATTGCTTACAGACACATCCTTAACCAAGTATGTCCTCAAGAGGGAAGCTTTATTTTAAAAGTAAAGATATTTCTTATAGGCACATCCTTAATTGAGTGTGTCAAGAAGGAAATGTTAATTTAATGTAAAAACATTATTTTATAGGCATTGTCTTAATTGAGTGTTTCCTCAAGAGGGAAGCCTTATTTTATTGTAAAGAGAAACAAATTTAGAAACCTCGTCTTATTATTTATGCCACGAGTGCCTTATTAAAAAAATTTTCGATAAAAATTCTTTCACATTCTTATAGAGATAAAAAATCCTCAAGAGGGAAGCTTTATTTTAAAAGTAAAGATATTTCTTATAGGCACATCCTTAATTGAGTGTGTCAAGAAGGAAATGTTAATTTAACGTAAAAACATTATTTTATAGGCATTGTGTCTTAATTGAGTGTTTTCTTAAGAGGGAAGCCTTATTTTATTGTAAAGAGAAACAAATTTAGAAACCTCGTCTTATTATTTATGCCACGAGTTCCTTATTAAAAACTTTTTCAATAAAAATTCTTTCACATTCTTATAGAGATAAAGAATTGACTAAGGAAAAAAATACACCATTTATATAAGGGTTTCATCTATAGTACATCTTTAGATGTGTAAAATTCTAGGTCCTTAGGATTAACTTCCCATTTAATTCTTCTAACTTGTAATTTCCATTCTTTAAATTTTATCGAACTATGTATAGGTCATCCCAAGTAGTTGCCAACTTCCCCTCTTTCACATTCTTTCTTGCTTCTCCCGTTGATCTCCACACCAGAATTCCTTCATGGAATTATCTTGATTTTACATATGAATTAAATCTTCTAGTCATTTTTCTTTTACATGCTTCGACTATAATGAGTGCTTTTTCTCTGTTTTATTTTATTAAGTCAAGTTTAACTTTTAATTCTTTATCATTATGTCCTTCTTGGAAATAAATTTGTCACAATGAGTGTTCTCCCATATCTATCGAAATCATTGCATCATTTACATAAGTAAGCTGAAAAAAGTGTCTCCTTTGTGGTGATTTGAGGAGTACACCTATAGGCCCACAATACTTCTAATAACTGTTTAGCCCAAGCTCCTTTGGCCGAGCCCAAACGTTTCTTCAATCTTACTAGGATAACTTTATTTGTCGTCGATTCTACTTGCCCACTGGATTGTGGGTGTTCAATTAAAGCCACTTTATGCTTGAGCCTAGGCTTGTTAGAAATTCATTCAACTTTTTATATGTAAACTACAACCTATTATTGGTAATTATGGTGTAGGGAATACCAAAGAACAATGATCTTCTAGACAAACTTTTGCACATTATTTCCTGAAGTAGTTGCAAATGGTTTGACCTCAGTCCACTTTGTAAAAAAGTCCACAACTACAAGAAGAAATTTCACATGTCCTTTATCCATAAGGAATGGGTTGAGGATATCAATACCCCATGTTGCAAAAGGCCAAGGTGATAAAATATCGTGTAACTCTTTCACTGGGGTTTTTGTGTTGTTGACATTGCACACATCTTTTTATGAATGCTTCATAATCAAATGTAAGTGTTGGCCAGTAATAACCAGCTCTTAATATATACCTTTATAATCATTTTTCTAGCCCTTAAATGCATCCCACACACTTTTTCATGCACTTCTCTCAACACGTAATCTACTTGCTCTAAATTCAAACATTTAAGCAATGATGTCGAGAACCCTTTTCGTTTCAATTTGTTTGCTATCACCACACATCCCACATATCTTGTTGACTTTATCTTTATCTTCTTAGCCTCCAAAGGGTCTTCAAGTAATATTTCTTTGGTGATATAGAACAAGATATTGTTCATCCATTCTTTGGTTAAAGCTGCAACCTATAAACATTTTGTGGAGATAAAGAGAGACACTAGAAGGGGAGGTTGAATAGCATAAAAAAAAACTCACACTTT